TAAACCAGGAATAGCAACGGCCCTAAGACGGAGCCCTGGGGTACACCACTTAGAACGGGAGTAGGAGTTGACCTTGAGGCCTCAATGCACACGGTTTGCGATCTCCCGGTAAGAAAATCTGTTATCCATGTCAGCAGCGTTCATCTTATCCCAATTTCAGAAAGTTTGTAGATTAGGCGTTTGTGTGGGACGCTGTCGAACGCCTTCTTAAAGTCTGTGTATATGACATCAACCCTCCCATCCTCGTCCAGTGCGCGAGTCCACTGCTCCGTCGAGAGAAATAAACTGGAAAGACACGAGCGGTTCTCTCTAAAGCCGTGCTGCAGGTCTGAGAGTAAATGGCCCTGCTCCAGGAACTCCATAGTTGCTTTCTTAAATATAGCCTCCATTATTTTACAGCAGATGCAGGTTAGACTAACAGGCCGGTAATTGTTAGCATTTGTGCGAGCCCCGCCCTTGTATATCGGAAAGATATTTGCTGTCTTCCATTCCGATGGCAACCTCCCTAATTCGAATGACGAACGGAAGATGTGCGCCAGTGATTTGGAAAGTTTATTCGCCAGTTCCTTCAAGAATTTGGCCGGTATATTGTCCGGACCCGAGGACTTTGCTTCCTTGAGATTTTTCAGCTCCCTTTCCACGACAGCTGTCGGGAACAGTATGGAGTCAAGCACGCGATCAGCAGTCTCAACAGCATTGCTAGCACTGCGACTGCGAAACTCTGTTTCTCTAGTAAAAACCGAAGCAAAATACTGTCCTAAGTGTTCGGCTTTCTCGCTGTATTCAGTGATCTCTACACCATTACCATCCTTCAGCACCGCGACCGGATCCTTATTTTTCAGTCTAATGTTTAGATAGTGAAATAAAGTCTTAGGTTTCTGTTCAGCCTGTCGTATAATTTTGGATTCATACTACTTCCGTGCCTGACGGATACATTTTTTGACGGCATTTCGTTGACGACGAAATTCTTCGAAATGCGCTGGTGACGTAGTTTCCCTGAATATTTTCCCTCTTTTGCTTTTCTTACGTAGCTGCCTATTTAGGTCCCTAGTTAACCAAGCAGGTCGACTAGTTGTTTTTTGTACTTTAGGTGGACAACAGCGCCATATCAGATCGAGTGAAATCGTTTTAAAAGATCTCCAGTCGTCCTCCGGTTCTCCCCTGAGTATTTGGTCCCAATTCACGGACAGCAATTCGTTCCTCATCGTATTAAAATCTGCCTTCCATATATTAGGTTGGCCCTCTGTTCTCTTCTGGCGTTTAGAGAAGAGCGAGTAATCCCATAGTAGCGTAGTATGGTCACTTTTCCCGAGAGGTGCATTGGAATACACTTCGTCGATATTAGAGAAGTCTTTAGTGAAAACTAGGTCTAGACAATTTGCTCTCTGGTTCTCTCGAAATCTTGTTGGTACCTTCACATGTTGCGCCAGAGGGAGATCGAGTGTGAGGTCCAGCAGCTTATTGCTGAAAGAGGCTGGTCCACCATTAACTGCCATAGTTTCCCACTCTATTGCAGGTGCGTTGAAATCCCCAGCA